TTCTTTGATGCCTGATACCTGATCCCTTTGACACCTCATGATCACGCAGGCTGGTGTGCTTCTTTCATGTGGGCTTTGTTGCCTTTGAGCTAGATGGCCGTTTGTTTATCTTCAAGGTCTGCCTCTTCTGATGGCAGAATCAAGAGAGAAAATTCCCAGAATTCTCATGAGGAGGCCACACCCATACAGAGGCGTCATTGGCTAAGACCTGATTGACAGGCTAGACTCCACCCCTTCACTCATAATACCCTCAAGTCGACAGGAGATTATGTAACTACCACAGTAACCCACCACAAAGGGGAGGGGCATGATTTTGCATCTCCCTCCTCAGGGGAGGGGGCGACCAGAGGGAAGAGTGGCAGGTTAGAGTTTTGCTTCTTTTATAAAGTCATCTACAAGTGGATTAGGCAGAATACTGCTACAAGGATCATTCAGCTGTAAAGTGAGAAGTGACAGGTGGGTGGGATGGTTTCTGGTTTGTGTGGCTTGATTGGTCATTGACAAGCAGCCCAGTCTTCCTTTATTTCTCAGGTACAAAGTGAGAAGACCCTGGCAGTTACTTATATGTATGTTTGTCTCCGACACAAGTTAGTGACCTGGGTGACATTCTCCGAGTTGTACAGCCTTGCTCACCCTCCTTTTCCGAGCCGCTCCTCCCACTCAGCATTAATTCATTGTTCCCCTACCTAAACTTTTGAGATGCTGTGGTCAGTTTGGTCCCAATTAGAATTCTTAAAAAAGTAAATGCTCAAGACAGGCCTGAAAGTAAACTAGTGTTCAATTTTAAGATGGCTTCAGGGTATATGTTTGGTTTAAAGTTTAAAGATTACCTCAGGGCAGTAGTGCAGGGGCTCACCCACCTTCTGTGCCTCTAAAAATCTAGAGTTCATGAGAATTTAAAATCCCGTTCGGCATTTCCCCTTTTGGCCCAGATTCTTCCATGGAATTTTTTGAGCAAAGCAGTCATCGTAGCCAGGCACCATCCAGTTCTTCCCGTCTCCTGGCACAAGAAGTAGTAGTTCTTGGAGGAAACCAGCCACACGTTCCGCACCCCCCTCCTGTTCCTGCCTCTTCTTCCTGTCGGTCCCGGAGGAGAGAGAGCAGCTGGGCCTTGGCTGGCCATCTTTAAGACTCGTCACCACAGAAAGAACCAGGAGAGAGGCACCCAACATATTGGTAGGCCAGTTAAAACTGAGATGAAGTTACTTATACTTTCAAGTAACATTTATTGTCTAATATAAACATGGTATTAAATGTACTTCTTGAAATTACTTTGTTATTTGCCTCTGTAGCGTGTAAATACGTAAGGCAAGTTCAGGGATCGCAGGGTTCATGTCAATTTCAGGAGACACTGACAGTTCTGGTTTTTTCTCATCCCAAGTTTCACATGTGCGACTACCTTTTTTTGTTTTTCCACATTTAATGGATTTACCAATAATTTGAGCTGTACCATTTTTTCAAATGATCAAAGAGGATCAAAAGAAGGAGAGAGAGAGAGAGTGTGTGTGTGTGTGTGTGTGTGTGTAGGGGGGATGGGCACGATAACCAACCCCAGCTGCTGTGGCCTTCAGGGTGAGGATGATCTTTCATGTATCTTCTTTGTATCAGTGTATCTTTGATGCTATTGCTCTGGTTTATCTGAACTTGATCCTACAATGTAACAAATGCTTTTTCATTTTCCTGATGGGGTGTTTCTGCCTTCTGATGGGCACCCCATGAAAACTCAACCCAAACAAAGGCTTACCCATCCAAAGATGTAGGCAGTAGCTACCAGGGTACCTCACTGTTTGACCTGCTTCTTGATCATCCATCATCTGTTGTGTAATGACTTGCACAAATTCCCACCATGGCATAGTACTTTCTCTCGAGTGGTGTCTCTCAGCAGAGGAGTTTCAAGAACTTCGTTGTTACTGTGACTGCGTTTCAGCCATCCTAACAGAGCCAGGAACCAACTGGGTGGAATTGCCTTATGACTTAGCCATCATCTGTTATTGGCCAAGAGTGAGTGATTATTTGAAAAGTAGCATCTAGGTCATTGCTAACAGTTTTTCACTGCCTAAGTAAAGAAGCTTTTCAAATGCTTTAAAATAAATGTATTGTTAAAAACGACTGACAAGGACTCTTTGCAGGTCCTTGGCTTTTGCAGGTGGTAGCCATAAGAACCATGTCCAAGGCCTCCCCAGGGAAGACTGAAGACCTGTCTTTGGGGCAGTAGGGGTGGGGGTGGGGTGGGATAAGGAAAAGAAAGACAAGCGGCCTCTCATGTTAGTGTGAAACATCTGAAAGGAAGTTGTGTATCTGTAGGTTAGCAACACACTTCGTGAACATCACAGCTGTGAGATTGAGCCAGGAGGTTCTTAAGTACAAGATCGAGGACCCAGTCAATTAGAAACTAACCATAGAAGCTTTTTATGTGGGTGTACACATTATGAGAGAGCCCTCCTGGTGCAATTCTCTCAAACCTTTTGAAACCCCCTTGTATAGCTAAGTGCAATATTATTTTAAGGCATACAAAAAATAGCCAACAAGATAATATTTCTAAAGTCTTGTATCCAGTAAAATCAGGCAAGGGAAACAAATGAAGATGGGAATTTCTCATTCTTATGGGATCCAAGCATTCTGTAGCCACTAAGCGTTCTGGAGGCTGGATGAACACCAGAAACAACTGCACTAAGATAGCCTAAACAAGAAAATACCCCTAAAATCTTTCTTATATTTATAAAATAATTTCCCCCAGAAGTCTTCTGTTAACCAAATAATAGTTTATCTTAATTATTAAAGGGTGTCTGCACAGAATATTGTGTTCTTTCACACCTATCTATATGGGATGAAATCGTCAACAACTCAAAAAATTTGATAGGCTACTTAAGAGGAGGACCAGTTAAAAAAAAGCATATGAACATGGTTGGCCAACTCAAAGAATGTAATCAATAGCACTGAATTATATATATAGAAATCGTTGAATTGGTATCTGCTCAGCTGTTTATATTTTCAACAACAAACAGTAGTTTACCTTATATACTCGAGTATAAGCTGACCTGATTATCAGCTGAGGCACCTACAGTAGAGTCTGTGCAGAGGAGTGTGGAAGATATAAAAAAGCCTCAAGCAGAACTTCAAGATATGCAAAAAACAAAATTATTTGAAATGAAAAATGTGCTCAATGAGATGAAAAGCAGATCAGATGCTGCAAAAGAAAACATGGAACGGGAAGTCCTAACAGTGGAAACTGTCCAAGATGAAGACTAACCCAGACCACTGTGCATGCAATGGATTGATTGCCTCAGCTCCAGATCCACCCTTTGTGCATGCTGTGTGGACGGGGCTAGACCAGTGTTTCCATGCACTGGGGGACACACACAGTCCAGGGGCCTGCAAAAGCAGACATGTGCTTTATGCGGGACGATGGGCTGTAGTAGAGACGTTTATAACTGCCGGGGGAGCATGGAGTCCTTTTTTTTTTTTTTTTTAACCCCTTAAAAGGAGGTGGCAGGGCAAATAAGTTGGCAAGCAGTAGGCTAGACCTTACAGATCTTTCTCCTTTTGGCAGCAGCAAGGGGTTCAACTTGTCAGTGTAGCACGGGGAGGTTTTGAAGGAGCAAAGGATCTTATTCCCAAGGGCAGTGTGACTCACTGTTAACATCCAAGGAGAAATGACCCTGCCCTTGGCTTTGCCTCTGAGGTTTCTCCCACACTCAGTCCTGCAGGTCGCAGCTTCTTCAGGATGTGGTTGCTGTGACCCACCACCCTCTATCAGGCTTTCAACATGGGCAGAAAAATGCAAATTGAAAAACAGTGAAGCAATATACATATTTTCCTTTTTAATTTTTAAATCATTTTATTGGGGGCTCTTACCGCTCTTAGAACAATCCATACACCACTTTTTGTTTTTTAAATCACTTTACTGGGGGCTCGTACAACTCTTAATCCATACATCCATTGTGTCAGGCACATTTGTACATGTGTTGCCATCATTCTCAAAACATTTTCTACTTGAATGCTTGCTATCAGCTCCTCTTTTTTCCCTTCCTCCCCCAGAAGCAATATATATATATATATATAAATTTTAAAGAACTGTCAACTTAGAATCCTATACCCAAAACAAAGACACCACAGGAACCCAGTTCCAATTTCCAAGTAACTTTTTTGGGATCTGTTTCCTTTTGTTTCGCTCTCCTTCAGTCTAAGGCCCACTCGAAGATCCTGCATTGTGTTATTGGGTCTTTAATCTCTTCTTGTGGAAAGCTGCCTCCCAGCCTTTCATCTTTCACAACAGCAGGGACGTTGGAAGAGGCCAGGCCAGGTGCCTTTCAGAAGGGCCCTCCAGTTGGGTTTGTTTGGTTGTGCCCTCATGCCTAGACGTAAGCAAGCATCGTAGCAAGAATACCACACTGGCTCTGTGCCCACAGTGCGTCACATCAGGGGCACCGGTGTCCACTTGTCCCACTGTTGATGCTGATGAGTGTGAGCAGGTGGTTAGGGTGAGGCCTTCCTGGTTTTCCCATTGTGCGGGCACACTCGCGCTTCTCTTTGTAAATACCCTGGGGGTGGGGGCAGAGTGGAATCATCTTCCCAGCAACCCTTCAACCCCCACTGGTGAGTCCTGCCCGACTCCTCATTTTCAAGGACAAGTTTTGGAGGCGCACGGTGATTCCTGCCTTGTTGCATCCGTGTGGCTTCAGATCTAGGATCTTGAGTCTTCCGGTGGAAGCCCCTTCCCTTCTCTGGGCCTGGCCAGGGGTCCATCCAATCCCTGCCCGGGCCACCCTGGACTCTGGAGAGGTGACGGTGGCCTCCTCTGAGAGCTAGCGTCTTTCCCGCCTCCCTGCAGGAGACCAGCTCTCGTGCTGGGTCAGCTTCTGTCTTCAAGTGTAGCATCTGGCCGAGTCTCTGCCCGCCCAACGGGCGCTGCTGCCGCTTACATTTCCACGGCACACGTGGGAGCCTTCGTCCTGATAACGTCTGAGATCATCCTGGCCCCGGATTCCCCAATGTGATTTCCCTGGAGACTGGGAGAGAAGGGGTTTGCCAACTGGAGGGAAGAGGGGTTCTGAGACACTTCCAGGCCCCTCCCATGGACGAGTCCCTCTTAACACGTGAACGAGCTGCCGAGGGACCTGGAAGCCAGCCGACTCCCAGAATTGGGCCAAAGGCAGGGCTGACCTGAGGGTGAGTGAGGGTGGCCGGGCCCCACTCACTTGATATGCTGGAGCCGGTGGTTCCCGGAGAGCCCGGTGGCCACGCAGATCGCCCCATCCATCCCCAGAGAATTCTCCTGCAGACTAAACAGAAAGGGGAGTACCACAGTGAGCCACTCCAATGAAGGAAGTGATGCCAAGTTCTGCTGTTGGGGTGACAGGGAACGAGCAGTCTCCTTGTTGATTTGTCCCCCAACACCCAGCAGCAGCAGCAGCGGTGTCATTTACCTCCATGCACTGCACTGGTGTTTGCACGTCGCCGTGCTTCCCTGTCCATGGGCCACGGGCAACGGAGGCCCTTCCCTGCAGACGCCAAGCTACTCACTACGCCTCTGGCATGGGCTAGCAGGACGAGCAGACTCATCCTGAACCAGGGACGGCCATGGCCAGTGCAGCCAGAGTCCACAGACTCAGAAGAAAGCCAGCAGCACTTGTTTCCTCCCCTCCCCGCTCTCCACAAAGGCCCAGTGGCTCCACAGCACTTACTTGAGGCTCCGGAGACTGGTGTTCACCTTCAGAGCCTTGGCCAGCGCTTTGGCTCCAGCCACGCCAATGGCGTTTCCTCGTAAACTGTTGGGAAGACCAGCACCCTTAAAGCATGATGACAGGCTGAGAGGTACCATGGTCGCCTCCTCCCACCTATGCCAGTAGCTCCATGAAGGAGATGTGGGCTTCAGCATCCACCGGGGGGGCTTCCCCTCCCTCCTAGGAACCCAAATGATTCCAACAAACCGGACACCGAAGGAGGGGAAGCAGGCCCAAATTGGGTGGTGGGTGCTGCTCTCATTTTCCTCCTCCAAGGGGACATTGGGTAACCCAGGGGAGGCCTCACTCCACCCAGGGGTTTCCCAGGGCACTCGGCATCTCTGGTCCACAAGAGCAGGGGTGACCTGGACCCCAAGTACTTCACTCCCTAAGACTGTGATTATCTCAGAGCTGGCGGCCTAGGAATCCTAAGCAAGGCCTAAGAGCATGTCCAGTCAAGGCCAAGCCATCCTGGAGGGGAAGGGGAAGGAGGTCCTTGGGGAGGCAGAAAGGGTGTGGACAAGGTAGGGTGTGCTTTAACTCTTTCAAGACAAAATTATTTTCTGCTGTTGGAAGCATGGGTTTTTAGTAATTGAAGATAAGTGGAATAAAAACATTTTTAAGGCCGTTTGGCTTTAGATAGTGGGCTACATCTTTGGAGCCAGGGCTAGTTTCCTTGTCCGTGCACTTCCATAGGCCACGACCAGATGGCAGAGCACACAGAGGGAAGATAGCAGCCTCCCGCCACATCCCAGAGGTGGGACGTGCACGTGGCCACAGTGTGTCCCACGGGCACAACATAGCTAAGTGAAAATCATTACAATGAGTTGGGGGCTTCCATGTGAATTTTTTCCTTTTCACATTTTCCCTGTCACATCTCTTGAGGTTGCATGCACAGCTTGGTTTCTCAGGTCAGCACCGGAGTTGGGGATACTTACTCGAGAATCTCTAAGGTTCTATTCACAGCCAGGGCCTCCCCCAGCGCCTGGGCCCCCAGGGCACCAATGGAGGTCACCTGGAGGCTGTTAGGAGAGACAAGGTCAATGCAGGGCTGGCTGCAGGGCTCTCCAGCCTCACATCTTCCTCCAGCCCGGCTTCTCTCCCCCTGCCCTTTCCTTCCCTCCCAAGTGCCCTCAACTGAAGGCTGACACTGGCACGTTAGGTTAGAGCTGAAGTGTGTCGACCGATGATGTGCTCACAGCCAGCTGTGACTCCTGCAGCACTTGGGACGGAGAACTGGGTGCTGTGGACGTAGGGAGTTGAGGTGCCCCTGGAAAGTCCCAGAACACCACTGTGCCCTCGGCACCTCTTATGCAGGTGTTAAAATGAGGAAACCAAACTCCTCCCTTGAGGGACACGGCACACTGATGTCTAGCATGGGCGACAGCAGAGAGGGCCAGCTTCCAGGGCTCCCGGGCACCCCCGGGACTTACTAGAGGGCAGTGAGGGCCGTGTTCACCTTCAGTGCACTGGCCACTGCAGAAGCTCCTTCGTCCCCGATGGCGTTCTCCTGTAAACTGGAACGTGTACAGTGAACCCTTTCGGGCCGTGGACACACGGGCCAGCACTGTAGCCAGGACCTGCAGAGCTCGGGTTTCTCGCCTGCACCACCCACCCACCTTCCAGGGGTCTTCATAAGCAGCTCGGTGGTGGGTTGCTTGAGAGCTGGGATGTCTGGTTTGACTCCCCTGCGCCGCCCCCCCCACCTCCACCCACTCCCAGGGCTCATCCTGAGGGATAAGCCACCAGAGGGGGCTGAGCCACGAGAAACCAGTGAGGAAAGGGCAATGCTGTAGAAATATTTCAACAAGCGTCTAACTATTTCTCACTGCCAGCCAATGGGAGCCCTCGGTCGCTGAGCTTCCCTGCTGCCTGTCTGTTACAGCCTGGGAGAAAGCAGTGGGTCCTGGAGCAGTGAAGGGAGTCATCAGCATGGGTTGTTTGAACCAACCTTTGAGTGGTGGCATGGAGACCCACTGGTGCAGTGTTTAAAGCACCCAGCTGGTCACCGGAAAGATGGGCAGTTCAAACCCACCAGAAAAGAGGCAGTCTGCCTCCAGAGAGACGGCAGCCCCCGAAATGGCTACGGATGTGTGTGCTGAGTGCTGGGCAGAGGACAGGCCCAGGTCCACCACCTCAGGATTCAGTGTGAGGCAAGATTAAGCAAGGACTCACATCAGGCCCAGTGCAGGCTGCCCCAGTGTGGTCCCAAAGGGCTGCCCGCAGGAAACAGATCTGACCCAGAACCAGCAAACCGAGATGGGAGAAGAGGGCCTGGCCCATCGAAGGAAGCAGAGAAACAGTCCCAAGCCCTGGGACCGAGTTGTAGGGAGCAGGGCGAGGTGGGAGATGAGGCTAGGGACAAGCCCAGGGTGCAGCTCTGGGGTCACTGAGGGGCTGGGCTTCACCCTGCAGACCCAGGCAGCCTGCGGGGACCAGAGCTGAGGGGTAGAAAAGTTTCCAGCTGACTGGGAAGAAGGGCTGGATGTGGAGATGGGCAAACAGTGGCTGTGGTCTCAGTGATACACGTGCATGGGGGTGGTGGCAGTGGGGATAGAAAGGAATGGCTGGGGGGAGTCCTTGGAGGAAGAAAACTCAGGGTGTGACCTGGATGAAGGAGGGGAGGCAATGCCAGAGGTGGGTACCACCGGCTGCCTTGCCCCATTCATGGGAGGGGTGCTGGCAAAGGACTGGGAGACAGAGATGCCGAGCAGCAGTGCAAGGCAGGTGGTGGGCCTGTGGGGCTGGAGCCCCGAGGAGGCCTGGGTAGGATGTGGTGTCTGTCTGTGGAGGGCCCTGGAGCCCTGGTAGCAGAGCCCTCATGGGGTGGGGAGGAAGCAAATGAGTAAGAGAGTCGGCCACAGTGGGTGCCAAGAGCGGAGGAGGGGGGAGGGAGGGTGTGAGCGAGTGAGCTGTGTCAGGCTCCTTACTGCTCACAGCCACGCCAGGACAGGGTAGGGCTGCTGCCAAAACCAGCGGTTCTCAGCCTGTGGGTCACGACCCCTTTGAGGGTCGAACGGCCCTTTCACAGGGGTCGCTGGATTCATAACAGTGGCAGCATGACATTTCTGAAGTAGCAATGAAAATAATTGCATGGGGGGGCGGGTCACCACAACATGAGGCACTGTATGGAAGGGTCGAGGCACGAGGAAGGTGGAGAACCACTGGCCTAAACTGTCATCTTTAGGGAAGCCGACTACCACACCTTCCTCCAGCAGAGCGGCTGGTGGGTTCCCCCTACTGGCCTTCTGGCTAGCAGCCCTGTGCTTTCACCACAGCAGCGGCACCGGGGTGCCTTTCTGTCCATCAGCGGGGTGTTTGCTACTCAACCATTCAAAGGGGTGACGTTCTGGTGCAGGTGACGCTCTCATGCCGCTGTGTGAAAGAAGCCCAGCCCCAGGACACATGCCTGACCCCTCGCCTGTGAACTGGAGTAGCTGAGGGGTTGCCTGGGGCTGGGGTTGGGGAGGTGGGAGAGGGGGTGGCCCTGAAGGCATTCAGGGTTGCTTTCTGGGGAGACAAATGTTTTAAAATGGACAATGATGATGGTTGCCCCACTCGAAGGAAAAGTCACTGAGCTGGACGTGAGTGAATGAGATCTCAAAGTTGTTCAGTTTGTCTAAAATGAGATGTGTCCACAACGTGCCTCTGGTTCTTTAACGCTCCCTTCCACTCCCCACTATCATGAGCCCAGTTCTGCCTTACAAACCCGGCTAGACCAGAGCATGTACACAGGTCCAGATAAGAACTCTTGACCCATGGGAATCCAGGACAGATAAACCCCTCAGGAACAGCAATGGGAGTACCATGAGGGTACGGGGAGGGGGGGTGGGGGGGAAACGGGGAACTGTTTGCAATGATCAATGTATAACCCCCCACCCCCAGGGAGACGAACAACAGAAGCGGGTGAAGGGAGACAGCAGAGAAAATGCTTTGAAAAGAATGATGGCAACATATGTACAAATGTGCTTGACACAATGGATGTATGGATTGTTATAAGAGCTGTAAGAGCCCCCAATGAAATGATTTTAAAAGAGAGAGGTGTCCGCCCCCTCCCCTTGGCCCCCTGTCAGCCGAGCCATACTTACTCCAAGCTGGCCAGGCTCCTGTTGAGCTGCAGTGCTTGTCCCAGAGCCTGGGCGGCGCCGGCCTGGAGGAAGTTCCATTGCAGGCTGGACAGACAGACGCCCTTGAGCACAGGGTCTGGGAGAAGGACAGGGCCCCCAAAGACTCCAGAAAAAGGGGCACTTTGCATAGAGGGCATGAGAGCTGGCAGGCGCTGCCCAAAGGACAGGGTCCTGACCATGCTCAGTCCCCTCCTCATGTGGACACTGGGGAGGGCCCTGCCCCAGGCCTGGGACTTGAGTCTGAGATGGGTCTTTGTCAGGGGTTGGGGGGTTGGGAGGGGGTCTGAAGCCCTGCTGGGCAGACTCACTGAAGGGATGTGAGGGTGCAGTTCTCTCTCACAGCGCCGGCGATGGCCTGGGCACCCTGGTCATGGAGGAGGTTGGCTGCCAGGCTGGGAGGAAGGGGACAGGAGCACGTGAGTGGGACAATCCTGAGACCTACCCGCCATGTTCATGGGAAGCCCAGACCACACCCACATCTGCGACAAGGGCTAGCTAGAGCACATCTACCTGCCACGGGCCTGACACCCCCACCTCCCCACCCCCTGGCAGGGGATGCCAGGCTTGGCCAGGCGCCATGACTGCCAGTCACAGCCCGTGCTCGGCAGAGCCAGTGCTTCCATCAGCTGGCCCATGAGGCAAGGGGGCCCGACCGCCAACCCCTGTGTTATACTGTCACCAGGAGGGTGAGGTTGGCAGGCTCTCTCTGTGCCCCTGGTCCTTCCAATTTGCCACTTGGAAGTGGAGGGCAGGGTGGGGAGGGGAGGTGGGCATGGCCCATCATAACAGCATGTTTAGGAGACCCCAACTCTTCCGTAGGGACAGCCCTGCCCCTCCTCACCCCTCACCCCACACATACTCCAGGTTCCTCAGGGTGCAATTGGTGCAGAGGGCGTGGGCGAGCGCCGGGGCTCCGTCTGGACTGATGGAGTTCTCTCGGAGGCTGAGGGAAGAGAAGACCCTGCTTGTCTGTTTCCTGGAAGGGGGTGGCCTCCGCCAGGAGACCCTCACAGGCCCCACGGGGGCACGTGTGGGCTCCCCAGCACTGACCTGCCCTCCCAGGGTCTGCAGTCCCCGCAGAACTCCCCACCAGTGGTCAGAGAGATGCGGTGGTGGGAGACTCACTTGAGGCTGAGGAGGGTCTGGTTGGTGCAGAGGGCCCCCATCAACGCTGCCACCCCCGTGTCGCTGATGGAGCTGCTCTGGAGGCTGCAGACAGAGGGCCGCCTTACTGGGTGTCCCAGAGCCTGCCCCAGGACTCTTGTTGGCCCAGGCTGGGTTCCACAGGATGGGAGGGGCCTGGGAACAGGCTCCGCCCACATCTCTCCCCACCCAAGAGAGGCTGGGTCAGGCAGGTGAGTTCAGCGCCACAGGCCTGCCCTTTACCTGCCTTGATGTAGGCACCAGGAGCCTCAGAGGGGCGTGTCCTGTCATCTGCAACCCCCAGAGCAAGTGGCAAGGCAGCATCCCTAGCTGGGCCCTACCCCCAGCGGCCTTAGGTCACTGCAGCTGGCCGACCTTTAGTCACCTATGCTAGCCTTTCATGGGCACTGAGTGCTGTGGTCCCTCTGAAACTCCAGAACCAACCAAAGCCCTACTGTCCAGGGGAATGGGGAGAGTGTCGAGGGAGAGACAGATTGGGGTGGAGCCAGGGCTTGCTGGTTGGTTGAGTTCTGCCAGGGAAATGGTCCTGGCCAGCAGGTCCTCCCCCATCTGCAGCTAGGGAGCTATGACCCCCCTCCCTGCCCACAGCGGCCCTGGAGGCAGACTCACTCCAGGCTCTCCAGGCCCTGATTCACCTTCAGGGCCTCGGCGAGGGCCTTGGCGCCTCCATCTCCAATGGTGTTACTGGAGAGCCTATAAGAGATGGGACGTAGGTGAGCCAGCTGCTTGCAGTCACTGGGGAGCAAGCAGAGGTCAGGAGCCAACAAGCTCAAAGGAAGGCTGTGGCTATGGGCCTCAGAACTGCCCACTGCATCCTTCTGTCTGGTAGCCTCAACGCGTGACTGCCTGCTTCCTGTAGGAGGTTGAGGGGGCAAAAGCCCTTGACCACCTAGCAATGCGTGGTATTTGTGGTATTTCATAGGAATGTGGCTGGCTATCTTCTGCTATACGAGAAGCAAATAAGAATGTGAACCTGAGAACATTAGGGTTTACCCATTCTGAATATCTGGATCTCTATTATCCGGATCGAGTAACCTTGGATCTAAGAGCCAGCCATCTAACACCCACCTATCTATCTATCTATCTATCTATCTATCTATCTATCTATCTATCTATCTATCTATCATCATCTATCTCTATCTATTCACTCATTCATCCATTCATCCACCCCTCCTTCCATACATTCATCCACCTATCCATTCACCCACCCCTTGCATCCATCTACCAACCCAACCATCCACAGACGTTCATCCTCGCTAGGAACAGTGAGGTCACCCAGGACCAATGTGGCCCTTCTGCATTTCTCACATGAGTTCCTTCAGACTCTGGTTCTGCTTCAGGGCATCTGCCAACCTCTGGGCTCCCATGTGTCCAATGGTGTTCTTCTGCAAGCTGGGGAAGAGCGGGGGGGAGGGGGGGGTGTCCCTCAGGTAAGGGGGCGACAGCCATCCCAGCCTAGGATGATCTGAGGTCAGAAACTATTAGAGCAACTAATCTAGATTAGAGACTACTTCCTTTATCAACGGCACGGGGGTGGGGGTGGGGGGGCTCCCCAGGAAAGGAGCCCAGGACTCACTGCCACAGTGTTGCTGATGACAGTATTAGGCAGGACAGCAAGAGGTCAGGGCAGCCGACCTTCCCTTCTGAGGAGCTGGAAATCAATGCCTGGTCGATTCTGAGAATGCCCAGCACCTTCCTACATGGGACTCCTGTGTGCCAGTCCTGGTGCCCCTTCATCCACTCCCTCAACAGTCAGCCCTGTACCACCTGCCCCCCAACACTAGAACCCTTGCTCGCAAAGGCCGGGGGGCAGACTCCCCATATAGATTCCTCTTCTCAAAAAGCCACTTCCTTCTATGAAGTTGGGTGGGGGGTGGGGGTCGGGTGACAGGTCAATGCCTTGGGGCTGGTGAGAAGTCCTGGCCCTTTGGCACCTGTCCTCACCCTGAGGAGAGAAAGCAGGGCAGGGCCTCTCCTATAAATGGCCAGCACACATGTAAAGGATGGGATTTTCCTGGGGTCCCACGGAAAGAGACCCTTTTCCCTCTGCAATTTTCTTCAAACGTTTCTAGGACAAAACTTGTAGTTTTCCACCCTTTCTCTAACCTTTGAGATGAACGTAGACGTTTTCAAAAGCTCACAGAGACTCTTGTCAATTTTGCAACCCAAGAATGGCCACGGAGGCTCCTCTTTGAGACGTAAGCACCAGGAGACCGTGCCCCAGCATCCCTGCTTGTTTGCTTGCCATAGAGATAGGAGAGGTGTTCCTTTAGTCTTTGCACAAAGGCAGTTAGCCAACTCAAGTGGTCACCTCAGCTACCAGGCTTGCTTAGGATAGGATGAAGGAAGAGGCACCCAGTGGTGCTGTGGGCTGCTCACCAAACGGTTGGTAGTTCAAACCCACCAGCAGCCCCACAGGAAAGAGCCGAGGCTGCCTGGTGCCATCAAGATTTCCTGTGGAGTAGTTCTCCTCTATTCTATCGGGTCGCTGCTGCAGAATCCACATGACAGCAGTAGGATTTTGCCGTTTCGTATTTGTTTTTTAATGTGTGACTGTCAAGTCCCCTGAGGAGACTCGTCATGGTTTCTCTTGAGAACATGTGCGTCGTGAATGGAATCTGCTGGCTGCATACAAGGGTGGGCTTGCTCTTTGTCTTTGCAATCTCATTCACTAACTGCCTGGGTCCGACATCAGAGTCTGATGCAAGGCTGACCCAACAGAGAAACTGTTGTGTTGTTTACTACATTGGTGGACAGGACTTTCCGGGTGGACAACAGTTTCTTTGTAATCTTTTCCCCAACACCTGTTCTCTGGGCATCAAGTTTTCTGGGTGCCATCAGACAGGGAAGTGCTTCGGGACTTCCCCCATCTGTTCCTCCTCGCAGAAAAGAGGCTGGGAGGCCCTTGGGGGAAGGGGCGTAGATGAGAGGGGCAGGCGGCACAGCCACTCACTGTAGCACGCAGAGGTTCCGGTTCACGGTCAGCGCCTCGGCCATGGCTCTGGCCCCATCATCCTTGATGGCATTACTCTGGAGGCTGTGGGAGAGAGACCACAGAAGCATCACCAGGAAGCCCACGAGGGCACCCAGTGATGGCCGGAGCTCCCACACAATGGGAACACCTGCCCAGGAAGGTGCCCCAGAGCTACGGAGCCCAAGGGGCCAGGGGAACCGCTGACCTCGGCAGAAGAGTGATTTTGACCACTGCATGCCCTTACTGCCCACTGACCAGGAACTGGAACAACCGTCCCTTCCATCACCTCTCCCAGAAGCCACTGCTCTGGGCTTAGGTTGCCCTCTGACTCTCTAAGTACTTCCCTGTTGACAGGGCACAAGGGTGCCTGGGTTACCTGGGCAGCTTTACTGTCAGACAGAGGTTATTGTAAACCCGATTACGGTGGATTGAACCACCACGTATAATATGATACTTGGTCAGTTGACCTCCCTCTTGACCCAATCCGAATTTACTCTAGGCTCAACTATTTCTCGCTTGTTCCATGATAGAAATGTCTTCTCTGGCTTTTGAAATATTGTTGGCGGTCTTTTCTTTCTTACTCTTTATATTTATCCATCTATTATTATTGTTTTCTTCTTTCTGTTTTTTATTGTTTCTCTTGGGTTTCCCGGTTGATGGAGCACAGAGGAGTGGCTGCAGAGATAATAACAGATGTAAGGGCTGCTCGGTGTGGAGTTGGGGAGGGAGGGAGGGAAGGTGAGTGGATTGGGGGAGCATACAACGAATGCAGGAGCGGGGAGGGAGCACCAGAACTGATTGTGATGATGGACATACAACTCTTTTTAAAACTGCTTAACTATGGAAGTGTATGATATGTGAATATTATGTCAAGAAAATTACTGAGAGAAAAAAAGTTGACCCGTGGTTACCATGGGTGAAGGAGGAAGAGGTTTTGCTTAGGGGACATTGAGTTTATGTTAATGGTGGTGGAATGATTTTGGAAAAGGATATCACTAATGGTTGTGCAACACGGAGAGTATAATTAATGACACTGGATTACACACGTAGAACTTGCTGACTTGGAGAATGCTTGATTATGTATATTTTTGCCACAATTAAAAAAAATTACACTTATAACAATGAATACATGGAAGAAGAGAATGCTCTAAAATTGTAGTGATGATTATACAATTCTTGATATGACTGAGCTATTGAATTGTATGATATATGGATGAAGTGCCCATAAAACTGTTAAAAATAAAAAGAAGAAGAACAGTACTCTTGAAAGATGGGTGGGGTGCATAAGCAAATGTGGTGAAGAAAGCTGATGGTGCTTGGCTATCAAAAGATATAGCATCTGGGGTCTTAAAGGCTTGAAGGTAAACAAGCGGCCGTCTAGCCCAGAAGCAACAAAGCCCACATGGAAGAAGCACACCAGCCTGTATAACCACGAGGGGTTGAAGGGACCAGGTATCAAGCACCAAAGAACAAAAAAATCATAAAATCATGAATGAGGGGGAGTGTGAGATGGGGACCCAATGCCCATCTGTAGACAACTGGACATCCCTTGCAGAGGGGTAGTGGGGAGGAGATGAGTCACTCAGGGTGCAGTGTAACATCGATGAAACGCACAACTTTCCTCTAGTTCTTAAATGCTTCCTCCCCCCACCACTATCATGATCCCAATTCTACCTTACAAACCTGGTTAGACCAGAGGATGTACAGTGGTGCAGATAGGAACTGGAAACACAGGCAATCCAGGACAGATGAACCCCTCAGGACCATTGGTAAGAGTGGTGATACCGGGAGGGTGGGGTAGAAAGGGGCAACCGATTACAGGGATCTATATACAACCTCCTCCCTGGGAGATGCACAACAGAAAAGTGGGTGAAGAGAGACGTCGGGCAGTGTAAGATATGACAAAATAATAATTTATAGATTATCATGAGGGAGGGAGAAGTGGGGAGGGTGTGGGAAAATGAGGAGCTGATGCCAGGGGCTTACGTGGAGAGCAAATGTTTTGAGAATGATGAGGGCAACGAATGTACAAATGTGCTTTATACAATGGATGTGTGTATGGATTGTGATAAGAGTTGTATGAGCCCCAATAAAATTATTTTTTTAAAGGAGGAGAAAAAAAAGAAGAAAGATGGGTGAAATGGGAAGAAATTATAACCCTCATCACGGTTGTGGGAACATGAAATGCTGCAGCTGCTGGGGAGAATGGTGATGGGCCCTGGACAAGTGAAACGGCATGACAATCTGGCCCAGCAATTCTGACCGTAGGTCCACACCCAAGAGAAATGAAAACACGCCTATCCACAGCAAGGCTTGCACACAAGTGTTCATAGCAACACTCCTCACAGTGGCCAAATGGCAGAAAGCATCCAAGTGCCCATCAATAGATGAATGGATAAACCAACCATGGTCTGTCCATTCAGTGGGATTTTTGCTCAGCCATGGAAAGAATAGGGTTCTGATACATGCTACAAAGTAGTGGATCCTTGGTAATATTGTGTTGAGTAAAAGAATTCAAATATGTATTCTCATGGTTGCTATGATGAATAACAGGAAATGATTAGTAAATGAAAAATATGTCCCTTTCTAAGATTGAAAACAGCACACTTACTAAAAAGAAGTCAGACTCCAAAATGTCACATATACTGTATGATTCCATTTATAGAAAATAACCAGCACAGGTAAATCCATAAAGACAGAAAGCAGATTTATGGTCTGCAAAGGCTGGGGGAGGGGAATGGAGAATGACTGCTTTATGGGCGTGGGGTCTTCTCCGGGGCGAGGAAAGTGTTTTGGAGCTAGTCACAGGTGGTGGCTGTATAATATTATGAGTGTACTAAATAGCACTGAATTGTGCACTTGAAAGCGGTCCATTCTATTACATTAATTTCACCTCCCCAAATAAAATAGTTTGAAAAAAGAGATAACATTATACTCAAGTTTGGCCCAACTAAGGGTGGATACAATGATCAAAACCCAAACCCAAATGAAAATCACACTCCTATCGAGTGGATGCTGACTCATCTCGACCCTGTAGGACAGAGTGAAACTAACTGCCCTGTGGGTTTTGAAGACTTTACAGAAGCAGAAAGCCTCGTGTGTGCTTAGCAGCCTGACTCGACTCACTAAGGCACCAGGGCTCACTGGACGCAGCCGCGGCCACCATCAAAGGACCCCACTAACCCCATCAAACCGTAAGCGCCTTCTTGACTATGGGCACTCACTGTGCCACGGAACACTGTGAGAAAATGGTGACACCTGCATGGATTGGGGAATTTCCTGCTCAGTCCAAGTTTTTCCAGACAATTTGCTCTTCCTTATCTCTGTGAGCACCACTGCACACCCTTGGTTTCCCCTTAACCCCTTCTCAGGCCATAAACACCAGCACAATGACTAAAGAGGGGCTGGAAATTTGGAAACTTGCATAGGATACAATGGTATCCAGTGGGAATGGGAATCAGGCCTGTCATTTCGAATTGTTTCCCATTCCACAGATGGCACCTGAGGGTTTTCTTGACCCTGTCCTGGGGGCCTCAGGGGTGGGGGACAGACGACATGTACCTCAGAGAAGTCATGGTCCGATTAATCTTCAGAGCATCTGCCAGAGCCTTGGCCCCTTGAGGCCCGATGGAGTTACCACGGAGGCTGGCAGAAGGAAGAGAGAAAGAATTATCTCCTTTCAACTGACTCCTCGGAAGGGAAGGAATACTAGAAATTACACTGATCTTTAAATCTGTGATCCTTGAAAAGAATGAGGCAGGGTTTAGGAATCCACATTTGGAAATCTCCTAAAATATTCCCATATAATGGGAGTGGACCCAGAGCAGGGTACATCAGGACTTGATGAATTCTTGGGTTTGGTCAATTTAAGGAGAATGATAAGCTGATATTTCGGGCTGAAAATGGGCCCTGGATGAATGAGCCCAATGCTTCCATGGGCGATGACCCTCAGGCAGCAGCTGAAGGGCTCCTGGCTTTGCTAGCTCAGCTCTCTTTCCAACCCACCCAGGGGACAGCATGGCCCACGATGAGGTCTCTCTTGTTTCCTCCTCCTACAGGAGGGACTATCAAGGACGCCCAGACCTTGGAGCCTGCACCAGATGAGATATGGGCTGAATCTGGGGAGCCAGGGAAGGAGGACATGATTCCAGTCGTTTCACAGGAAGGGGAGGTGCCTGTACAGGAGACTGTGCACAGGGACCACAGGCTCTTCCTGATCCAACGGCAAAGCTTAGGCCTTTGGCATACTACTTACTCCAGAGCAGTCAGACTTCGGTTGACCAGAAGGGATCTGGCCAGAGCTTTGGCTCCTTTGTTGCTAATCTGGTTCTCAGCCAAGCTACCCAAAGAAAGAGAGGACTGGTTAATCAAGTCCATATTTCATCACCATCCACCTTTGGAAGTCTCCTTCCATGCCATGCCTGTGAATTGAGCCCCTAGGCCTCCCAGCCTCATCTGGCCCTAGGCACAGGTAATGATGATGGCCCATTGAAACAGGATGGCCGGACACAAGAACACCCCTGATCCTGGGCAAAGTCGAGCCAGAGTGGGTAGACAGACTCTCACTCTGACAAAGGGTTCCAGGGGAAGTTTGGCTAGAATCCAGCCCAGTGGCTTCTATGCACAAAGCACAGCAAACGGGCCGTACATGACAAGCCTGCTATGTGGGTCCCTTGACGCTGATAAACTGACTCGCTGGGAAAAACAAAATACAGAAAATCTGATCGATGCATTTGCCAATGTCCATGATGTAAACATTGGCCCCATGGCCAATAGTTTGCAAACTCCCTGAAAATTTGACCATCAACTCTCACGAACTCGTTTAAGATGGCCCCAGGAGACCATTGATTCCAACCTTGCTCTCATGAAAGAAAAGCAACCTGGAGAGTTTTTAGGGAGCTAACCTTAAAGTAAAACCAATTTATAAATATGTTTTACTTTATATGTACCTATACCTGCCTTGAAAGGGCAATTCCAGGGATATGCTGGCGGACCAACCTAACAGTGCTTCATGAACTCAGACTTCAGAAACAGTAGTTGTTGGAGATCTTTACAGTTTCTTAGACTTCTAAAATGGAATGTCACTCAGTTGGACACAGCTGTTCAATTAGATCCCCCCAGCCAGTGCTTTTGAAGCTATGCCCTAAGGGCCCTTACAGGCCCTCAGGAAGATTTTGAGGAGCCCCAGGAGGCTGGTGAGACCTGTGGGCCCCACCTCCTACCTCTTTAATGCTTAGAAATTCCTCTGTCTGTTTTACATAGTGGGTTATAGCTGAGGTTTTATATCTCTTTAGAAGATGTTTGAAGACTACTCGTTCAGGCCACTTCTAGATAAATGTGCTCAGATTCTGCAGCGTCTTTGTCCCCCAAGGATGTTCATGACATTTTATGTCGTGTTTTATGAGCAATGCGATGTGACTTTTCCTTCTTTTGCCCCCTTGCTGCCGTCTGAGATTTATCCGTGGGCACGTGACGGCGTGCGAGATGTTATAAGCACACAGACCTGCTCTTCAGTCGGCATCTACGACTCATCTAATTAGAACCCGGTTGTTGTTAGTTGTCACTGGGTTGGCATCACACGCATCAGACGCCCAGACTACTGCTTGAGGTCAAACTGCGAGGAGCTTAGAGAACATGGGCGCTGGTACCGCGTGAGCATGCACAGTTCTCGAGTAATGTTCTCATGTCCGTGACCGTGTCTGACCCTCATCATCCCGTCTCCTCTTCTGCTTTTTTTAAAATCGTTTTATTAGGGGCTCATACACTCATCATAATCCATCCATCCATCCATTGTGTAAAGCACATTTGTACATTCATTGCCCTCATCCTTCTCCAAACATTTGCTCTCCACGTAAGCCCCCGGCATCAGCTCCTCCACACCGTCTCTTCTTACAGAAGAGCTACCTAAGCCTCTGAAACTCTCGAGAATGAGCAGAAACCAACAGACTGCATCCTGAGCCACATATGTAAGAGAGACCTTTCCTTGAAGGCTCCACTGGCCAGCTGAGCAGAGAGGGTGCTGGGAAAGGAGTCATGGACTCCACAGAACTGGTGGGGAGCCCGGGGGGACCTCTGGGGTCAGGGATACCTGATCTTCTGAATGCGGCAGTCCTTCCCGCTTAGCACACTGCCCAGCAGCTCCATCACAGGGTCCTGGAACTGGTTACCATCCATCCTGCCCAAGAAGATCAAGTGTCAGCCAGTGGTACTCCCTCCGATGGGCAGGGTGAGAGGAGACCACTAGCTATGGGGCTGGCCTCGGGGTAGAGGAGAAGGCCTGAATCCCAGGGCTCTAGACAGCCAGGCGGGGGACCTTATCCCTTTCCCCGCCCCTACTGTGGTTCAGCACATCCACGATACTCAAACTTTCCCCATGGAAGACACACTCAGAGCTCAGAGGCTGTGAGCCCTCAGGCTCCTGCCTAGGGCAGGGCCCACCCCTGTGTGGCACTGTCCTCGGTCTCCTCCTCCTGGGGACACACAGTTCCAGGTCCCAGGACCCTCATCCTACAGGTGGAGGTCTTGAGCAAGGGAGGATGGGTCCCAGGTAGCGTGGGTGGAGATAGGGGGAATAGCCTTGGGTGGTCCAGGGTATACGGGGGTGGTCCAGGGCATGAGTCAGGTGGGGGTGGAAATGGCTGCAGACCCATCCCCTCCCATGCCTACCTGAGGCTCTGGCAGTATAGCAGCTGGGGCAGCAGGCTCTGGAGCACAGCCTGGCTGAGGCACAGGGACAGGTTGGCCTCTTGGGCGCAGGTGTCCGACACCTGCAGCAGGTAGGCCAGGGCGGCGCGGTGCGCGGGGCTGGTCAAGCCGGCCAGGTCCCCCCGCTCCACGGCCTCCTCCACGCCGCGGGCCAGCTCCGTGTGCTGCAGCTCGTGCAGGCAGCGCAGGATGTTGATGGCCCGGGCGCTGACGGCCGCCTCGGGGGCCAGGCAGCCCTGCAGGAGGCTGGCCACCTGCACCCGGTAGCCCTGGTGCTCCCCGGCCACCAGCAGGGGGCCGGCCAGCAGGGCGTTGACCCTGGGGGACAGGAGGCCCGAGAGGAAGCGCAGGAACACGTCCAGTCTGCCGTCCTCAGCCTGCACGGCCCGCTGAGCCGCATTCCGGAAATGCGTCAGGAAACCCAGCCGCGGCCAAGACAAGCCGCTCTCCGTGAAGAGGTCGAAGATGGCCCTCTTGGACGCTCCGTAGTAATAGGCGGCCGCCACAAATTCCTGCAGGGACAGGTGGCAGAAGCAGTAGGTGGCCAAGGAGCCTGGTGTTTCCTCCTGCCGCAGGAAGCCCCCACCCAGGGCGCCCTGCAGCAGGCCCAGGTCCACCCCGAAGGCCTTCAGGTCCTGCTCATAGAACACATACTTCTTCCTGACCAGCCCGTGAAAAGCCAGCCGGCCCAGGGTCCCCACCATCCTGCGGTCCCCCTGGGCCACCTGCTCGATGCGTGGGCTCACCTTGCCCTTGTCCTGCCCCTCCCCACCGAGTCCCATCCTGAAGTACCAGGCGTAAAGCTCACTCAGGGTCCTAGGGGGCGACAGCTTGGTGTCCGGGGCTCCCCGCCTATGGCGGTACAGGTGGCCCAGAGCTGACCCCGTGAGCCGGCAGAAGGCGGGCACAGTGCACATGAGGTACAGAGCCCTTTGGGCCTGCACCTGGGCCAGGACCCAGCCTGCGAGGCCCTGGTCCTCCGGGAACATCTGCCCCAAACACGCCTTGATCTCTTCCTGGTTGAAGCCCCGGATTTCTGTCATCCGGTCCACCAGGCCGCCCGGGATCTGACCAGCCGAGTTGGGGCGGGAGGTGACCCAGACAGAGACTTCTGGAAAGAGGTTGCCCCGGATGATATTGGTGATGAGGCTGTCCACCGGGACCTCTTTCCTGGGGTCCGTGCAGGCTGCAGAGTTGGAGAAATCCAGGGGTGTCTTGCTCTCATCCAGGCCGTCCAGAATCAGAAGGGTCCTGGCCGGGGCCGCCACTGCCAGGCCGGGGTCTCCGAGGTGCGGGAAGGCCGAGCAGACCAGCCTGTAGGCTGACAGCTTCTCATGAATGTTCAGCTCCCGGAAGGTCAGCGGCAGCACCAGCGAGAAGTCCTTAGCGAGCTGCCCTCGGGCCCAGAGGTGGACGAAGTGCCTCACCAGGGTGCTCTTGCCCACGCCAGCCACCCCGACTGTGATGGAGACGCGGGGCGGGACGGAGACCCGGGACAGGGACAGGAAGAGCCCGTCCAGGGTAATGGTCCTGGCGGTGCGCCCGGCCCCACGCGTGGCCTCCACCTGGGTGAAGTCATGCTCCCGCAGCTGCAGGTCAGTCAGGCCATCCACCAGCAGGAGGCTGGTCAGCCTGGTCGGGGGCTCGCCCAGCCCCGCCTCGGCCCCCCGCCGGCTCAGCAGGGCTTCCTGGTGCTGCCGGAGCCTTGCGTCTGCAGGACAGAGGCCCCAGGAGGGCAGGGAGGTGGGGGTGATGGCACAGGGAGAGGGTCCAGGGAGAGGGCCCCCTCTGCCACCCAGGCCCATCCTACCACTGCTGAGGGACTCCAGTGGGGGGTCCGTTGGCCTGTCCCAGGTTTGCAGGGCCGGGGTCCCCTTCCCTGCCAGCAGGTCCATGAAGGCCTTCACCTGCTCGGTCGGGGAGCCACCACCATGTCCTGGGCCAGCCTTCCCATCCACCTGCACCCGCTGCTTCCGCATGCAACCTGGAACCTCCGCCAGGAACTGCAGACAGAGGACCCAGCCCTGCTGTCTGCCAGGCTGCCTGCCCAGCCATCCTCCACCCGGGGCTCAGCGGGGAACCCACGTTCCTTTTCCCCAGCCCGAAGCCACCACATCCATCCAGGGTCCTCACCCCACCTTCCCGGGCAATGACAATGGTCCCATCCCAGGAGTGCCTCAGGTACAGGGGCCACCTGGGTGACAACCAGCCTCTTACCAGCAGTGTGGCTCCAGGCAGACTTCTGAGGCTTCCCACGCCACCACGCCCTCATGGGTAGCCTGGAAGTGGGCGTGCCGTGGGTCGAGGAGTTGGGAGGTGGGGCACCTAGTTCCCAAGTGGCTCCTGGAAGCTGAGGGAGGCAGTGATGCTGAGAGGCAAAACCTGGGAGCCCACCCTACCCAAAGCTGCCTCCTAGCCCAGGACCTAGCCCTCTCATAGCTCAAGCCCCAGCCCCTCCTCCCCTCCTCCCCTGGCATGCAGCGGGAAGGACCTACAGCCAAAGCAGCCACCCCTCCAGCAGGGCCAGGGGTCATGGGGCAGGGGCCGGCATCCCCTCAGCCATGGTTCTAGAGGAAGAATACCACAGAGTGAGGTGGGGCCACGGGCCGCACATGCCTCCTGGCTCACCAACTGAGCACGTGCTGCTTACGTTCCGACCACCTCTAGTTCATTCTTCTCAGATCTTTTCAGGGTCCAGGGACTGCAGAGACGGCAGCAGTCTGTCTGCCTTCCTCCCGTGCGTTGTCCCGGGGAGCTTTGCACAGTGTGAGGGCCTTGGCCGGGCCGCAAGGGGTGCTGTGGGAGCAGCATAGAGGACTCCTTGCCTTAGTCTGCCAGCCTCAGGGAAAAGCACCCCTCAGCGTCGCCGCGTTTGAATCGGGGTTCTTCTCTCTTGGGGATGTTTCCTCACGCTTTCTTTTTTAGTTTAGGTTTGTGTTCATGTGGCACCTCATTTTCTATTATCACACGAATATTTTTATGACCAAGAACTGATGTATTTGAATGACGGTGCTGGTTGACGATTTTGAAAGTACCGTGGAACCCAGAACAAAAGATCATATCCGTGTGAATGAGGGGGAGTGCGGAGTGGAGATCCAAAGCCCATCTGTAGACAATTGCACATCCCCTTAAAGAAAGGTCACAAGGAAGAGACGAGCCAGTCAAGGTGCAGTGTAGCACTGATGAAACATACAACTTTCCTCTAGTTCTTAATGCTTCCTCCCCCCACTATCATGATCCCAATTCTACCTTACATATCTGGCTGGACTAGAGGAGGTGCACTGGCACAGATAGGAACTGGAAATACAGTGAACCCAGGACAGATGAGCCCCCCAGGACCAGTGGAGAGAGTGGTGATATCGGGAGGGTAGAGGGAAGGTGAGGGAGAAAGGGGGAACGGATGACAAGGTCTACATATAGCCTCCTCCCTGGGGGACGGACAACGGAGAAGTGGGTGAGGGAGATGTCAGGTGGGGTAAGATATGATAAAATAATAATTTATAAATTATCAAGGGGGAGGGAGGGGGAGGGAAAAATGAGGAGCTGATACCAAGGGCTCAAGTAGAAAGAAAATGTTTTGAAAATGAGGATGGCAACAGATGGGCAAATGTGCTTGACGCAATGGATGGATGGATGGATGGATGGATTGTGGTAAGAGTTGTACGAGCTCCCAATAAAATGATTTTTTAAAAGAGAGAGAAAGAAAGTACCGTGGGCTGCCAGAAGAACAAACAAGTGCCTTGGAAGAAGCTGAGAACTCTAAACCAAGGAAACCACGCACACTCACGGCCATCGAGGCTGTCCTGAGTCACAGAGACCCCAAAGGGCAGAGTAGACTGCCCTTGCGGGTTTCTTTGGCTGCAGATCTTTATGGGTGCAGAAAGCGTCCTTGTCATCCCATGGAATGCCTGGGGGTTCCCACCACTGAGCTGTCAGCTAGCAGCTGAGCATGTAACCCACTACACAAGCAGGGCTGCTTAGAGTGATCATGTGACCCAGCGATTCTACTCCTAGGCATGTGACCGAAAGACGCGAAAGTGGGGACTCAAACAGACCCTTGTGCATCAATGTCCATCGCAGTCTTTATTCACAAAGCCAAGCGGTGGGGACGACCCAGGTGCCCATCCAGAGAGGACGGAGAATCACAACCCAGACCCTGGAGTCCTCTTCAGCCATAATGAGCAACAAAGTCCTGATAGATGACGATACGTGGACGGACCTTGGGAAATGATGTGGAGTGAATTGAGCCAACGACAAAAGGACAAGTAGTGTATGGTCCCACCTCTATGAAATAGCTAGAATCGTAGCTAGGAAAAGTACAGCCAGAATGCTCCTGGGGCATGAGAAGTGGCTAGACTTCGTCTCAGATAGTTTGGACTTGTCGGAAGAGACCAGTCCCTGGAGAAGGGCCATCACCTGTGCTTGGTAAAGTGGAAGGTCGGTGAGAGAAGAAGAGCCTCAACTAGAAGGGTGGATGCAGCAGCTTCAACAATGGGCTCAAACGACGACAGTCGTGAAGGTACTGCAGAGTTAGGCAACTCATGCTATGGGTCACCACGAGTTGGAACCAATTGGACAGGACCTAGCGACGTGGCTGGGTTGCGCGGAGTTTCTGCGAAGGGTGATGTGAAATGCCGTGGAGCGGATTTTAACTCTCAGTGAGGTGGCAGGACAGAGTAGATCTGTTCCGTGGTGTTTCCGAGGCTGTCAGTCTTGATGGAAGCAGGCAGCCCACCTTAGTCGCATGGAGCGGCTGGTGGGTTAGAATCGCCAAGCCTGTGGTTTGCAGCCCAGCCCTTCGCTGCTTCAAGGGCTCCTTCTGCACAGCGCAAGGAGTCTAACAAATGCCGTCGGATCACGCATGTTAGACAAAAAAATTCATTGTATAGACACAAGGCTTCAAAAAGTTGGTGGGGAAATGGAATGGTGGGATTATGGAATTTTCCCACGAACGTTTTAAAATCCCCCGGTAGTTTCACCCCGATCATAAAGAAAACAAAAGCCTAGCCCCTCTTCAGAAACTCGTCTGCGGGTCAGACCCCTTGAACCATTTCAACGCTCTGTCCATGTGACATCCAGGGACATTGGTTACATCCGTAGGTTGTACCACCCGTCTCGGTATGCGTTTCCAGATCGGTTCCCGCCATGACCACCAGCCCCTGCCCGCTGAGCTGCTCCTCTCACCTGTCAAGTGGTGGTCATCAGTTTGGTCTGGAGGGAATTCTTCACAAGGCAGGTTGCCCAAGGCGGGGATGCTTTTCTACTGAAGTTCAATCATTGTTTGGTTTAAGGATGACTTTAGGAGATAGTCGGTTTATGGTTGAAAGGCTTCTTCAGGGCAGTTGTTTCCAAGGAGGGAAAGTGTCACCCAGACTCCACAATGCCACAGAGTCTGAATTCCATGAGGAGTTGAAGCTCTGTTTCACATTTCCCCCATAGAACCAATGTGGACCGATTTTAAAGCTCCCTGGGAAAGTCTAATGCGCAACTGGGGTTGAGAGCCCCTGGACCCGAGATACACCGACAGGACATTGCAGGGACAAGTATGGGGTGAAGAGGAGCTCCCCCAGGATCCTTGTCTCTGTCTCTTTGTGATGCGATCACACTCTAAGGTTAGAGGCCCATCTCTCTTGTCCCGTTGACCTCAGGCCTAAGGTTGTCAAATTTACCCAATTAAAACACAGGGTGCCAGGTTAAATTGTAATTGCAGGCAAGCAACAAAGGAGATTTTTAAAAAATAAAATAAATATATCCCATGTAACTTTCGTGACATACTAAAAACAAATCAACAACACAAAAGCTGTTTATCTGCAAGTCTCATTTATTGGGTGTCCTGTATTTTAGCAGGCACCCACATTCAGTGACACTCAGACTGAGTCCCACCCGCCAACCTAGCTTTCACCTGCAGGCACCTTCTCCCAGCAAGCAGCCCAGGATCCCTTCTCTCAACTTCCCACAGGGCCAGACAGACCGAGCATCACCTGATGCTGACAAGACTCCAGGGGTGAGGGTCTCCCCATCGGGGACCAGCTCCCTGTCACCTACCAGACCCCGTCACCTCTGTGGACAGACTTACAGGCAGACTCCAGACCAGGTCCTCCCACAGACCAGTGAGTCGGGTGAAGCAAGCTGAACAGGGCCGTGGGCACAATGGGGCCCCTGCAAACCCAGCTTACAGAGGGGAAGATCGAGGCTGGTGGCCAGGAAGGGGTCCCAGTGCTATCTTTTTCATGCCTTGCTGCAGGTGGGGCTTGCTGGGACTCTGCGGGGAAGGTGGACCCCAGAGCCCCTGTTGAGTAGCCAGGCTTCTGCCTCAGCCCTGGGAAAGGCTTGATTCGATCTTGATTGTTTCTGCCAACCGGAAGGGCTCCTGATCTTACCCCTGCCCCTCCCAGGGCCTCAGCCAGTGGGTGGCTCCTGCTTAGTCATCTGCTGCCTGGGGATGCCATGGGGGCTGCCTCCCCACTCCCGGGCCAGAATGAAGACTCAGTGCTGGCAAGTGGCCCCTGTGCCCCAGCCGGCTGACCACTTGGCCACCTGAGATCAAGCGACCTTCTTAAAGGCAAGTGGAGAGAGTGTCTGCCCCTGAGTCACTGCTCCCTACTGCACGGACCCTGGGCTTCAAGCAGAGGCAGAGGAAGGAGGTGTCCAGGCAGCAGACTGGCCTGGGTAATGGTCCAGGCTCCGGGGAGGGGCCCAGGAGCTTTGAGAAGAGGACACCCTGGGTAGTTACATTTCAGTTTGTCCTCGTCCTTCCTGGGGAGACTTGGGGTTGCACGCCTAACAGCAAGGAGCACGGAGCTACCCAGACGGCCCCTCCCAGCTGTGGCCCCTGGTCTCCCTCTGACTTACAAGCGTCGAGGTGGGGAGGTGGGGGGGCTGAAGCACAGAGAAGTTGGATCTTGTGCTTGGGACCCGGCAGCTGGGAAGGGCTGGCTGCTGAGCAAAGTCTAACCACTGGACGAAACTGCCCTCCGATCCTTCCTCTGGTCCCCTCTCTCTGGGTGCGGAGGCACAGGTCAGTCTCTGGGCTCCCCCTGGGCCCCTGTCCTGTCTTTGTAGTCCATGCCTAGAGCTCACAGAGCCAGGATGTGGGCTGGCGTCTCCGCAGCTGCCCGCCCTAACCCCAGATGGCACCATGCTTGCTGCTGGCTGTGCCCTCCCCCTCCCCCGCTTTGCACGCTGGCCACCTGGGCTTCACTCACCAGGCTTCCAGTCTGCTCCAGGGAGGTCCAGGGTGGGGCTCTGCCCAGCTCCTCAGGGCGATGGTGGTGGTGAAGGCAGAGATGCTTGGGATGATGCGCCAGGTGCCCACAGGTGTGTCCACTCCACTGCCAGCCTGCAGCCTGACCCCACAGATTGGTGACACCAGCTGACCCTGTGGGCCCACTGGTGATGTGGCCCCGGCTCTGATCCCCACGGACGGTGGCAGTGGCGGCGTGTGCTCCTCTTCCTGTGAGGGGCCACCTCCACCTTCCTTCCTGTCTCATTTCAAAAGCCAACAAGCCTCTCGACAAATCAGTGAGCTGAGGCTGCCGCCCGCCCGTCAGGGGAGTGACAATGGGGTCTTGTCCCAGGACCTGCTGCTTTTAAAAGAGACGTGCGAGCTGCTGATAGCCAGCCCTCTCCACCTGCCCAAAAGGACAGTCGTGGCCATCAGGGGGTAGTCTGCTTTTCAGTTGCTAGGTGATGTGCAAGGGGTGACCTCAAGTACTCTCCCGCCGGCCCCAGCCCCACTTGCCTTTCTCTGCCCCCACCAGGCACCTCTAAAACAACGAAGCCCTGTGCTCGGTTCTCCTGGCCTCTGAGAGGATGAACAGAAGGTGGCCACTCAGGGCCCTGAAAGATGGATCTTGGCGGGTAGTGCGCATGACAGAGAAGAGGTCGTGGGGACACACAGGTCAGAGTGGACAAGCAGGCCCATGGCCGAGAAGAGGGCGTGGGGACACACAGGTCAGAGTGGATAAGCAGGCCCACGGCTGACTGAGTGCTTGTGGGAATCAGCTAACAAGACACCGTGGGGCCTGCCTTTTGTTCAGCCTGCAGGAGGGAGCCCCTGACGGTGTAGGACAGCAGAGGTGTGTTCAGATGGGCACACGTGAGGGGGGGGAGTGGGGCGGGGGTGTTGCTGAGCCCCTAGAGCAGGACTCTGCTGCGGGGTAGGCACAGTGCAGCTCCAGGCTGCAGCCTTGGGGGCTGGGGCTCGGCCGCCCACAGGATGCTGGAAACCGCAGGGGCTGTGGGTGTCTGTCGCTGAAGCAGGCTATTGTGGCCTCTTCACCCCCACTATGGTCACAGCCTCCAATGGGGGATCTTCAGACACCCCAGAATTCTGCACCCCTTGGCCTTCCCAGAGACCACCTACCGTCCAGATAGAACGGGCCAGGGGCCTCGTTCTTCCAGGCTCTCTAGGAGCAGTGGAAAGGGGAGGGGAGGCTGAGCAGGGAAGGGGGCTCTTCCAGGCTCTCCGCAGGGATTGTATAGCTGAGGGCATCTCCAAGCTCTCCTAGGGGTATGTGTTGTTGAGGGGTCCCTAGCTGCTCCTAGGAGTATGGGGGGGGGGGGCGAGTCTCCAGGCTGTCAGGGAGGGGAGGGGAGCATAGTCTCTCCTGGAGTAGGGGTTGTGTGTGAGGGAGGAATCTCTATAGATTCTCCTGGGGGGTTGTATATGCATGTGTATATGTGTGGCTCTCCTTGGGGGTGTCGTGTGTGTGCCTGGAGGGAGTGGGCACAGGCTCTCAGGCTCTCCTGGGAGGGTTGGGGGTGAGGGGGTGTCTCTTGGTTCCCTAGCAAAGTTGTGAGGGGGGAGTCTCCTAGGCCTGCCAAAGGAGTTGTGTGTGTGTGGGGGGGGGCTCTCATGCTCTCCTGGGGGCATTGTCAGCAGGACACCCAGTCCTTCCTGCCTTAGGTGGGGCCTTCAGGGCTGAGCAGGGCCCTGAGCTTGCCTATTGCCCTGAGTGGCCACGGTGGCCAAGCTCACAGGAAGTGGGACAGACCCAAGAGGTAGCCTCAGTGCAGGCAGCACACTGCTCGTTGATCAGCTATAACCACGACATCATGCCCCTCCCATCAGGCCCACCTGCACTGGGGTGGCTGGGGCCCCAGCTCCTCTGTAAACCCCATTGGGCAGACAGAGTGTGGTCACCGTGTTGGGCCTTGCTCATTTCCCGGAAGGGCCAGCCCACTCTCTCCAGCAACTCTGTTCTGATCACAGCAGCGGCTCCACATGGTGGAGGGGTTCAGGAAAAGGGGCAGCTCTTTGCTGAGGTTCAGGCTGTCACCAGTCGGCCACCGGTGCCACCTTTCAGGGCCTGATTTGATGTCCCACTTTCAGCTCTCTCACCATGCCAATTCTCCGAGCCCGGGCACTGCCATGCTGTGAGTCCCCATACCTTACAGCAGCAGTTCTTAACCTGTGGGTCGCAACCCCTTTGGGGGCTTGAATGACCCTTTCGCAGGGGTCGCCCGATTCATCACAGTAGCAAAAGGACAGTTATGAAAGAGCAATGAAAATAATTTTATGGTTGGGGGTCACCACCACAGGAGGAACTGTCTGAAAGGGTCACGGCATTTAGAAAGTGGAAAACTGCTGCCAAGGATGGTGTGCTCCCCACACACACTCCTGGAAGGGTCAAGGGTCAAGGTGAGTCCGGGATCCCCTACGTCCCCAAACAGCCCACCCTGAATTTGAGAAGCCAGGCTTCCTCCCGAGGTGTGCAGGCCGACCAGGGCCAAGAGCCCTTGTTCGTTCTGTTCCCAGGGCCACCTTCCCTCCCACCAGCGCCCCAGCAGTGACTGGGAGGGACTTCAAAAGGTTGGTGGAAAAGTGGAATTGAAAGATAATGAAATTTGTCCAGGAACTTTTTGAAGTGCCACTCTCCCCCCACCCCCCACAAAATGCGGCCTCTGTAGGGAGGCGGG